TCATGTATAAATGTTATTGTTAAATTAAAGTGTCTTTTTCAAATATTAATGTTCCTATATATTGAAACCTGCGAATCTTTGGAACTGAATATCGTAAAATTTCTAGGTTGATTATTTTACGTTTTCTGCAAAGAAACAAGTTAAGTAACATATGATATGTTAATGAAATAAATTTTACTGTAAAATGAGCGGAATTAGAAAAATATTTACCTCTATGATAATTGTTTAGTTCATAACGGTAAAGCTCACAATGGTTATTTGCTTAGTGAAGGATACCTTAAAGAGGACTTTCTCTGAAAAGTGCTTCGTATTCCCATTGCAGAAGGGAAAATCACGAAAATGCCTGTGCAATTAGTCCATTCATCGGGATTCAACTCTGCTTTTTATGATAAAAATATGTGATACATTGTAATATTTCATCTGCAATTCGATGGCTTTATGCATTATTAGTAGTATTAAAACTTTTATAACACATTTTAGGTTGCTAAATGTAGTGTAATCTACATTTCAGAATTTTTGACATTTTCTGATAATAAAATTATTTCATTTTGTATTCTGTAGATGTACGTCCTCCCTGTAAGCTGTTATTTTATTCATTGTAAATTTAATCCTTTTATATAAATGTATAAGTTTTCACGTGATTAACAAATGCCTAGTCGAAAGAAAATCGGTTTTTGCATCATTATATCATTTCAATGAAGACTACTAAAACGGATAATCGCTTGATACCAAAATTTTAATGTGAAATTATTTTCCCTGATGTGTTCCGCTGATAATTTTATTAATTAGGAATTTATGAAAACTTTATCTTTTAAAATTGTAGTTTTCAGAATAGGCTGTCGTTAAGGGCTGCCATAGTCGAAATATTTTAGAATTTTTAACGTTTTATTAGCTAAAAAAATTAAATAATTATTTCTAAAATATTTCTTCGAATTTTTAAACAAAAATAATATATGCAAACGACTGTATTATGACATTTGAATTTGAAGCAAAATTGTTTCTGTAATTTTTCCTTTCGGTTTACGTCACTGTGTGGCGCTAGTATCCTTTTATCTGCTAATGTAATGCCTCACGTCGACATATTCATAATTCTCTTTGTGTATTAGTAAGGATATGTACTCATTTTCTTGGTGGTGTGGTGGTGTATTCAATTATGGCAAAGCACACTAGGGCTATCTGCCTAAGGGGAGGGATGCCTTTCGTGGAGGACTTTCTAAGGGAAACTGGCTCGTATACACGTTACACATGGGGAAAACCACGAAAACGCCCATGCAGCCAGCCCGTTCGCGGGATTCGAACCTCGGACCGAACTACCAGTGTTCAGCGACTTTACCGCTCGGCCGCTGGTGGGCCCACTCATTTTCTTGACCACTGTGAAAGAAAAATTATTTCTTCGATTGTAATTATGAATATTGTCTTGGTCTGAGAAATAACGCTGCTAAATTATGAGTTCTGCAAATAATACGTATCTTTTAAAGTTACCAATTTCGCGCTGTCTCTCGTTTTGCCTCCAAACATTGACGCTGCACTTGGTCTTTGTGTCTGCCATAGGTGAGTACATTCATGATCTATTTCGTTCTATTCAATGTTTTGTTTGTATGGTCATTCATAATTATATTTTTCAATGATTCTGAACGCATTTGACTATATTTCCTTTCAGTACATTGCATTTATTTTTCGTGAACTCCGTTTTAACTGTTTAACCAACGAATTTGATTCATAGCACATGAATAATGCAGCAGAAAGCTTGTATTTAAAAAAATAGTCGTAATTAACAGTTTTTATTGAAAATACATTTTTTTACTTAAATTCGTGCTTTAATCTGAAAGCAACTCTTCATCTTTAAATGCAGTTCTGTATTTAATTTCATACCTTAAAACTAAGAAAAGAAATGAGTTTCCCTCTTCACATATTCTATTATTATATTAAATGCATACGTTACCAGCGTTTTTGAGGAACATCAAACAATAAATAACGAAATAGGCCAAAAAAAGTTTTATTGGTTGCTGGAAGTTAACAAATACTTTTATTTATTAAGCGATTGACACAAGATTCAGAGGAAAATATTACGAAATAATTTAATTGTATTAATTCGCTGCATTTATTACAAAGAATATTTTTCAAACGTTTAGTAATGTTTTCAGCTGTTTCATTTAAAATAAATATAGTAATTTTATATGACCGAGAAATGTAGTAAAAACAATCGTTTCTTTTTCTTCTTTTTAAATGATTTGGCTATAGTATAGATATTTAACTTTTTATATTTGCTTTTTAATATATATAATGTTGCTTAAAAATAAGTTTAATATTTTCTTTATGTATTCGTACCATACAAGAGATACAAAATTTGCCGCAAAGTAAACATAAAATGATGATAATTTATTTAATCAAATAAATTAAGATGGGACATTTGAATCCTACGAATCTCAACAACGATTTGAGATTTAAAAAATCGAATCTTCGCACTTTTTTTCAAATTTTTTGAAATCCTAAACTTAAAAACCGTTACTATTACAATTCATTATGAGTGTTCGTTAATATAGAAAGAAGGAGGAGATGAAAAACGAAGTCATAGCAATTTTAGTGGACTTTGATCACTTTTTGTGGTTGAGTGCCGCACTTTTAGTTTTTTGGAGAGCGTATCGTTTTGCATTTATCTTAGTTTTCTGGATAAAATTAAAAGTGTCATATTTATTGTTTATCTTTATTTCTTAAAGTAAATAAATATCAAGATTCAAGAATTTTAATTACATATTTCATTTTTTTAAAATTTCGTTTGTATATTTCAATAAATATAATTGTAATATTAAGTATTCTTACCTTCTTCTTTTTATTATATGAAGAATTTGAGAAGTTCGATATTAGAAAGACTCGAGTACCTTTTAGGATCCGAATTCGAGAAAATTTATAACACGTCCCATCTCTAAAATAACCTTTAAATATGACGTAATTCATGTTATTAGCTGCATTTAGAAGAAAAATTTTTAACCGTTCAGTAAAAACAGAATATTTTATTTTTATAGCTTTACTGAAGAGAAAGTGAATTCTGAATCGCGGGATCTTTTGTGTGAAGATTTTAAACTTCATATATTCGATCTTTCGAATAGAAAGCTTATAATCCTTCTGAATGATATTAAGGCATGCACTTCGGCATGAGTTTCTGCATACACAACGAATTCTTAAGATAATCTTATTTAAAAATATTTATAAATATGAAAGATATCTGGAGGCAAGAAAAAATGTTGTATTTTTCTGTATTTCCAAGTACTGTAGACTGAGAAAACCTACTTCTCCCTACTTGTCACTGTGATACGATTATATCTTAACTGATTCAAAATTTTTGCTGAATAAAAAGAACTGTGTTTCCAGCGTAAGCATGGAGCTTTATGATCTTTCAGATAAAATGAAAAAAAAAATAGCCTTGTATTTACAGCGCATTTGACAAATACAATTTTTTAAGACTGTCAAGTTCACAATTTCCCTCGGTTGTTAATACTGCATACGACTTCGGCAATGCATATAGTGTCAGCATGTGCCATGACATACAATTCGAAGAGAAAGTATATGCTTTTTCAAATGCAGTAAATCTTGTATTGTTTGTGATTGCAAAATTTTATTAACATTTATAACTTTTACTGATAATGGTTTGGCAGGTGTGAAAAAGCCAAAAATTCAGGATTTCCATTTCTCATCTAATCTCGAGTCCGGGATGAGAGCCGCTATCATGTGTGCCGTGATTGGTGGCGATCCTCCCTTCACGTTTACCTGGTTCAAAGATGGTGTTCATATCGCAGGAAATGGGGACACTTCAGTGAAATCCATTGATGATTTCACTTCCAACTTAATCATTTCAAAACTTGGTCCAGAGAGTAATGGTAACTATACCTGCAAAGTAGCCAACAATGCTGGGATTGATCAACATTCTGATCGTCTGAGTATAAAGGGTATGTATGAATTTTGTCTCCTGAATATATTCGGGAAAATCCCACTTGAACGTTTTTCTTTTCTGAATTTGTCTAACCGCATGCATATGTGCTCAAAGTATATTTTAAGAATTTAACTATGTAACATTTTTTTTTTTTTCATTTTGAGAAACTGCATTGTAATATCCGAAACAGAAGAGATTCCAGCGTTTTTTAACCGGCCGCATTTGAATCCTTTTCCTCAGAATAGTTGTTTACAATTTTTATGTTTGATACTGAGTGAGAAACGTTTACATCAAATCGTGTTATCTTTATGAGTTTATCTGTACAGAATTCTAAAACTCTTACGAGTAAATTATTTTGTTTTATTTTGTTCAAGCTCTTAAATTTCGAGGGATATTGCTCCCGAATCTGAAATTTATGTTACGCATCTGTTTTATACCTATCAATATATCAATAGGTATTCTTCGTCATTGGAAGAAAAATTAATTACTCTTAGACAAGTCAAATACCATGATATTTTAATTTGAAGCACTTAGATATTGTATTAGTTTAGGTAATTATTTGAATTCTAAGTAAGTTTCGATTTTCTCTTTTCTTTTTTCCATTGTGGCAAATATCGAATAATAATGATACCCTACAACTGCTCCTACACTAATGATTCTTTCTGTCAGTGTGTAATTTAACCGTAGAACCTTAATGCAAGCTATGGAAGTTTATGATCTTAAGTCTGTCTCTTACTTAACACGTTACGTTAAGCGCCAAGCCTGTTTCAGCTTCCTTTCCCTTTAGAGCATAATATCCGATTTTCCAGATATGCTGGCAGCTGGAAATCCATGTAGAATTTCATAGAAGATGCATTTGAATGAAGAATATATTTTTTTTTAATTGTACATCATCAGTCAACAGTGACTTACACGGTCCGAATGGAAAATATAGTGTCAGTCACCAGGAACTGAAGCGGTCCGATTGCTGGCATGTCGCTTAAGGTGTTAAAAATACAACCACATAGGCTTACTGCTGGTAAGTCTGTGTATTTATCATTTACTTTACTTGAGGATCTTACTTACGGATTTTCTTCTAAAAGTATTTCCTAGCTTTGCATTATCTTTTACAAACTATTTTCTAAACGCTTTAGCGTTACATAATAGTAACATTCATCTATGAATTTCAGTTCAATAGTTATTAGTACATTACATAAAACGTTTTCTGTTTTTGACTGTATTTTGTTTAATTTCATTTTTAACTGCATATTTTGTCACTATGTGGCGCTAGTCTACCAGCGGACGTAAAGGAATATGCGTCTTCTATAGTTAAATAAATCGTGAACAAGCATTCTGACCAGAAACAACTTATCAAGAAAGGTATGAAATTGAGTATCTTTAGGAAATATGCATTCTTTTCCTTTCTTTGTTAAAGTTATGAGATTTTTATCAGTAGTTTTTCTTTTGCAGTGTTTTCACAATTCTTGCTTTGAATACGCTTCGGTAATTACAGAAATGAGAAGTTTGTTTTTCCTTGCAACACTACTATTTGTACTACCGTTCCCGATTTGTATTAAAGGTAAGCAAAACAATATTTTCTCAAATCAATGATTTCGCTTTCATCATATTATTTCTGCAGCTTATTTTAAGTAATTTATATCTTATAGAAAATATTTTTTGTAATCCTTGACAATAAGATATTTTATTTAACAGTATCGTCGATTTTATGGTTGTTTTTACTGACTTGAAATATAAAAATCTAAAATCCAGAAAATTATCAGACATTTAAGCTGTTTTAGAAAGTAAAATTTGCGCCGTACATGTGTTCTTAAGATATGAAAGATCTGAATAATAGTAAATGCAAGCTAAAACTTCAGCATTTTTATATTTATGTTGAAAATGAAATTAAAACAGTTGCTAGGTTTAACATTCGCTCCGATTTTCACAGTAATTTTCAAAAATTCAAAATTCGGTTTGTCTTGCCTTAGTAATATTTACTTTAAAATATTAGTGTTGAAGCTAAGAATATGTCATTCAGATGTTTAGATCTCTTTTAATTCAGATGTTTAGATCTCTTTTAATAATCTTTTGAATGATGCTAAATGTTTTCCTCTTTTAGTAATCTTCTTGTAAAACAGGTTATATGGTATAAAATTATTTGTAATCTCATCGTGCGTTCTTACAATTAATCTTAACTTTAAAACGAAGAAATGCAAACAATTTTCGGAGAATGGGTATACATACACAAGCCCATTTTTTCGTGTACTGGATTAATACGAAATTAAATAAGTAGTTTAATGAATATTTTTTATTTAGTTCCTTGAGCTTTTGAGATATAATAATGTTCAAATCTATTTCAAATTTGTGGAAGCAGAAATAAATTTATCAAAACAAATTAACCCTTGAAAAGAAGTTGTGATAGTTTTTTATTATAATTTGTAACTAAGCAACATAATTCTGAATAATATATTTCCAACCATTGCTTCTTTTTTCGAAAAGAAATTCTTTGAACTATCAGATTTCTTGTACAAAGATTATCACACAATAAACAATCTAATATGAATTTTCTTTCGTTATTCATATTTGATTTTAACTTTTCTGTTTATACAGGAAAATTTGGCCTCCAAGTGATATTGCTATTGAAGTTTAATCTGAAAGTTATGATTACTGTAATCTTATAAGGTTCTCCTAAATTTTACTTTTCTCCTGTCTCTCAACAAATTAAGTTGGTTATCTAGATAATGTTTTTTTTTTTAATTCCATGCGAATTCTTATGTTTTATCTTAAAAAGGGTAAGAAACTATTTATGGAATGGTTGTCAGTTGAACTTTGAAGTTTTTTATCACATGAATTATGAAATAAAAAATATTTGCGATTTATTTAAGCGCTAAACGACATCTGTGAAACTGCGATTTTGTATGAAATTTTTGTTAGCTTAGTTGCAATAATGTGATAGCTTTTATACATAAATTATTTTACTTCTAAATTTAAAGCTATCGAACTATTGAAAATAATGCAAAGTAAATGAGAGTTTAATCCGTTAATATCCTGACCATTTAATATTGTTTAATTCTCAAAACAGAGTGACTTACTGCATTATGATTCCAATATCTGTGTTTACTTTATTCACACGTATACTTAATCAGTTACCTAGGTTAGCAAATTTTTGGAATTCAAGAATCTTTTAAAAAGAACATTATTTTAATTGTTATACAAGTAAAAGCAAAACAAAAGACCGTTAAAATGTGTCTTAAATTAAAAATAAGTTATTGCTTGTGAATACCATATTATTACAGATATTTCAAGATTTATTATATTTTTCTCTAATTATTTTTCACAAACCTTGTCTGGAGTGTAAAGTAAAAAGGAAGTAATATTCATTTAATTTAATACAATATTAGCTGAAGAGGACTATTCCAATTCTTTTATAAAGTCAGATAATTAAAATACAGCCTCAAAAAATTAAACTGCAATTTTGAAATGATAAATACCCAAAAAATTTTAATGTATCATAATTCTAAGAATATTTAATATTTTATTGAATAAGGAGAATGTATGTAATTCTGCAATTGTTATGGTAAAGTAAACTAAACACACCTTGATACCCCATTTCCGACACAGATTTATTCATATATATATATATATATATATATATATATTGTTGCAGATTTCAGGTAAGCATTTGATCTATATAAATTTTGAGATGTTAATTTAGTTCAGATAACCTATACACTTAACATTTCCATTGGACGTAAAAATATATTCATATGTGTAAAATATGAAAACAAAATATAAAAATATATTCACTAAAAAAAATCGCCACTTATTAATTTTCAAATTACAATGATTTTTTCAGTTATTTTTGTATTATATTAGCTTCAAAGATATCGGTGTTGTCCGTATTTGGTGTTTCAGTACTGTATAATGTGTTTAGCTTATTTCTGAGAACTCTTTTTGCAAAGACATCGACGTCTTTAACTCCATTATCAGCTTCTCACATAGCTTAAATCGACATAGGTCTAAGTTTAGAAAAGAGTATAGTATTAAAATATAATGTATGCGTATCATGAAAATAATTTGACGAAAAAGTGTTCGATTTTTGCTGCTAGACGGCTTTGGCATATTTGTATCAAAAGCCTTGAGCGGTATAGTGAGTGTTTCAGTGAATTCTTCTTTTAGAATTTAGAGTGTTCAAATTTGTATTATGATAGAACGGATTGTTAAAGATTCAAATGTTCGAAATTAAATTGAAGAGATTTTTAAAAAATTGCTAGTACATCGTATTATCCCACTATATCCTATTATTACTTATTTACGTTTTTTTTCTTTGAAGGGATGCCACTTCTGATTTTTATTACTATATGCTAACGTGCTTTAATAGCTGCTTATATGTAAATTTGTGTAGATCATTACTTAAAGAACGACTCACTTGAGATACATAAATTACAAATACACAGCTGTATTTAGGATAAAAGATAAAAAATCAGGAATGAAAAGTAAAAATATAGAGGCTTTTAAAAATTAAACTGAAAACATTATCTTCTATAATTAAGATACAATAGCACGCCGAACAAATATTGATTCAGAAGTCAAACAACAAAAATAAGCGCTATATTTTCAAATTTTCACAGGACTAGTGTCGATGGTTTAACCGAACCATCATCCTCAGCTGCAAAAACACTTCTGAATCAACATTATCTTCTGTCTAGACGCACTGTATGCATATTTCTTAAATTAAGTAAAAATACTTTTTATCTGTTTATTTATTCTAAATGTGTGACTGATGTGAAATAGTGCATTTATAAGACTGTTTATTATAATATATAGACTATTTATAAATTCAGAATTAAGCTGTGTCTTTATATCTACTTTTTAATTTAACTGAATTTACTCTCGATAAATATTTTTAACATGCAGTTTATCAGTTTTTACTGTTCTTATTGCAGGCCTCGTCAAACCTGAAATCAGACCATTTCATTTTGTCGGAGAATTGAAATTGGGCAAAAGAACAGCAGTGGCATGCTCTGTCATCGATGGTGATCCGCCTTTTGTTTTCACGTGGCTCAAAGATGGTTTGGTATTGAAGAACAACCAGGAATTCTCCATTGCTAATGTCGATGATTATCTCTCTACCTTAACCATATTCAAACCTGGACCTGACAGTAATGGTAACTACACTTGTAGAGTCTCCAATACTGCCGGCAAGGACGAAAAGCATGACATCCTTCTTATTAAAGGCAAAGTTTCTTTGAAAAATGTTCTTTTAAACAGTCTTTTTGATGTTTGTAAAATTCTTTGATCAAGTAATAACCTAGCAATATTTTCTAACTTCATTTTTGCTCACAATGTGGCGCTAGTATACTGTTATGGTGGAAATGTACGGTTTCCATCTTATTCACTCTTATTTAGATTTACAGATCAAATACGCATGTTGCTGTTGGAATTGGATTTTAAGCGGTGAGTGTCCAATACGAAATATGTAAATGACTTTTATGTTTGGAATTAAATAAAATATCTTCATAGCGTTTATTAATTTCAGATACATCTATTTGAGCTGTGATCTAGTAAAAATTCATCAAAGTGATTCAATGGCGAGCTGGCTTTTCCTGCAAGCGTTGTTTTCATTCAGTATACATGGTGTGTTAGGTGAGTAAATTTTCTTGTTTTATATGGGTATAAAATGGAGATTACTCTGTGAATGCTGGTATTTTTTGTAATATATTCTTAATACTATATAATAAATGATTATTAATATTATATAACATCTAATATCTTGCAACATTACATTTTTCTTCGAATTAAACGTAAAAGAACGATTTATTTGAAATTAATCTCTCTTTCGTAAGATATAAGAATCCGCTGTGGATGATTTCTGTGTAAAGTTGACTTCATGTTTATCCATATTTGAAATTCCGAAAGGTAACTAATGTAATGTTTTAAGTAAATATTTTTTAACTTTTTTTTAATTAACAAATTCTGGGCAGTATAATAACAAATCCAGTTTAAAATTTATTGTCGTTACTTTAATATTGGCTATTGTTTACTTGATTATTTTAATTAAAATGATTATTTTTAATAAATAAATGTTCTGATATTACATAAGTTATATTAACTGACGAATTCATGTGAAGTAATTTTTTTAAATATTATAAAATTACATACATTTATAAATTATGTTAGCATGTCTAAACTAATTATTGTGTTTTCTCATAACTGAAAGTTTGCTAATTTTCAACTGGTTAAACTTTGCCGATCGTAAATTACATATTTTTGCAAAATTTCCTGGTTAGAATTTACTTTTATGTTTTTTTTTATGCTGTGGTGGGTAATCTGTTTGTGGCACATTTTCATTATATTTCTTCTAAAAAGCCCTATTGTATCATTAGCCTTTGAAATCGACCGTGTACTGAGGCCCACCAGCGGCCGAGCGGTAAAGACGCTGAACACTGGTAGTTCGGTCTGAGGTTCGAATCCCGCGAACGGGCTGGCTGCATGGGCGTTTTCGTGGTTTTCCCCATGTGTAACGTGTATACGAGCCAGTTTCCCTTAGAAAGTCCTCCACGAAAGGCATCCCTCCCTTTAGGCAGATAGCCCTCGTGTGCTTTGCCATAATTAAATATACCAATACCAATACGACCGTGTACTGTAATAATCAATTAAATTTGTAGTTTACCTGAATTTAATAGCATAAAAAAAGTTTATCATTTTACAGTTATGAGAATCATTAAAACAAAAGTTTGTAGAAAATCGATTTGAAGATACCTGAAATAAAAACTAAACGCTATAATTAGCATTTAAATAGTTTCTGTTACTTAAATGTCACCTTTTCCTTACTTTTTTAGTATTTGTTAATTCAGCTAATAGATTTCATTTGTTAAATTCGCTTAATGCCAAGTATGGCCGACAGGTTAATTGCAACTGCCATATAATATTTTTATAGATCAATACATTACATTGCAACAGAATAAGTACAATTATATTGCTACTGAAATTTAATATTGTTTTACATTACATTTCTATCTCTTCCGTTATCGATTGTATCAGGGTTTATAATGCGTTAAATTTCAGAATTATTTTGGACTAAAAAAATTTTGGGGACATTTTTGGGCTTTTTTAATTTTTGTTTCTATAACCAAAAAATTGCTCCCTTTCTTTAGTGATGATTTCTTACCAATCATCACATTTATGTGACTGTTTCAAAAATTCAGATTGTGTATTCAGTTAAGTACGAAATATGATTAAATTAAACAGCAATTTCATTTACTGACGTAATAAAAGAACAGACTACTGTTATGCAAATGTTTACTTTAGACCATTGATCTTGAGGCGCATTTCAAATTACTGCTCAGTATCTGTTTCTCATAATTAAGGCGGATAATATAATATTATAAACGCTATTAACCGGGGCATAAAGTAATATGCCTTAAATTGTTTTCATTCTGTACAATCAACTAAAGCGAAATTATATTTATTAATGGGAATTATTTTATTTTAACCTAGTATATCTATTAAAATTGGACTATATGTTTAAAAATGCCATGCTATTTATTAAAAATATTGCTAATTTTCTTTCCAGGTATCACTAGACCAGATATTAGGCAGTTTCATTTTTCTGGAGACATAAAATTTGGTAAAAGAACTGCAGTTGCATGTGCTGTCATAGATGGAGATCCTCCATTTCACTTCACGTGGCTGAAAGACGGTTTAGAACTCCACAGCAATCAAGAGTTTTCCATTGCTACCGTTGATGAGTATCTCTCAACGTTAACCATCGCAAAACTTGGGCCAAATAGCAACGGAAATTACACTTGCAAAGTTTCCAATAGCGCTGGAGTGGACGAAAAACACGACGTTTTACTTATGAAAGGCAAACAAATGTTTTTAAGTTATATATTTCAAAAATTTGAAAATCTTATTAATTTCCAAATATGTACTCCTTTTTTATTTTGAATTTATCTTCTAACTTCATTTTTGCTCACGATGTGGCGCTAGTATTCTCTCACGGGTTTCTAAATGCTAAGCTTGGTAGCGATCATTGCAGCAAAGTCCTAATACCGCTGTTCTGTATAAGATAGTTTCGTCGATGTTCTGATTCATAGATACGTTTGTCAGTTTCTCTGTGAATTTTGTTTCAGCATTTCGATTTTAATACAAGTTTCGTATTAAAATTAATTGCGGTCATGTTTCCGTGGTTTTTCGTTGCAGCAATGATTCATGTTGTCGTCATTCAAGCGACAGGTAAGTTTTTGCTATTTATTAATTTATTATGCATGGAATGATTTTTGTGTATGCTTAAATTTGCTTATTTTGAATAAGATATAAAGAAAATTTTACTTACGTATTCAATCCAGATGCTAGAATTATATATTCCCTAAAACGGATTGATAGATAACTAATGAATATTTCTTCGTCACTTAACTCTTCTCCATATTTAAGTTTTCTGCAGTATAAATATGTAACAGTTACCTTAAAAGAGATTTTTAAAATTAATATTGAAGTACGAGTTGTCTAGTCTGGTGTCATAGGAAAGTCTCGATCGCGGAATATTAAAACCTTTATTGTTAACTATGAATTAACAGCCCTTCTTATATATGGCTGATTTAATTTCTTTATATATATTTTTTAAAAATATTATTGCGCCTGGGTAATTGTTTCAAAACATCGTGTTACAAGCTAGTTGTATTGACTTATTACTTCAGGATTTTTTTATGTGAAATACTTAATTTTTAAAATGAAAGCGAATTCTGAAATGTACAACTTCTCAAATTACTTCCTTAATTTCTCAATAATTATTTTTGGAAATAAACATTTTTTGATTTGCTTAATATTTCTCCAAATCGATTAATAGGTTGAATGACTTTTCCTATCATTTCACTTGCAAATGATATTTTTCCTTTATTATCAACACTTAATTTTTAAAGCTTAATTACTACGTATAAAAATATTTTTTACTTTTATTTACAGCTAATAAAATCTATTAACCTGAATTAATATAGCTATTCTTAGCCTTCTTTTGAGTACAATACTTGAAAAACGCTGTCTTACAAACATCTATTCCTTATAGCAGTTCGATAATTTATAATTTATTAGATTTTAACTCAGTACACGAGAACTCTAGAAGTAAAAGTTTTCATATACTGAAAAGTCAACCGGAATAGAGGTTAAATATTTGATCTCCGACTAACGTAAAAAGCAGTGTCCTAAAATTTATTCAAAACTTAAGAAATGAACTGATTTCTCCTTATTATAAAATTCAAAAAGTCAGTGGTTAAATTTAATAGAATTGTTACCCCTTTAAGCTATTCTTCTAAAAATAAAAAAATATAAAAATGATTATCGCGGCTTGAGATACTTCATATCCTGAAGTTGGAAAATAATTTTAAAACGCAGAAAATCACAAATGTTTAGTAATCTATATAACCTAATCCTGCAGCACTCTTACTGTACTACTGTTATAAATAAAATTGAGTTCCAGCTTTACTACTGGCGAGTAGGCCAATAAAAATGATTAAATATAATAATTCTTTACCATGTCATACTTCTGCATTTTTATTTTAAAGTCAGAAACCGTCAAAGACAATGTTAAAGATTTATCTTCATCTTGCAATTTTTGCTTATTTTATTCTATTTATCGGGCGCATTAAAGATATCCCATGTTTCTAAATCTAGTATCTCAATGTTATCTTTAATTTTTTCCAAATATGTATTCTTTAAGATTTGGAAAAATTAAGATTTAAATTTTAAAATAATATTTATTTTGCTTTAGTTGTTACAGTTATTTATTTCTTGTATCTTTATATTATATCTTTCTTTTCAGATTTTATTAAGCCAGAAATCAAGCCTTTTAATTTTTCAAGCAATTTAGCAGTTGGCGAACGTACAGGTGTGATTTGTGTCGTAGTTCGTGGTAAACCTCCGTTTATATTTGCTTGGCTTAAAGATGGAATAAAAATGAATGAAAATCGGGGCTTTTCCTCGACGGTCTTGGACGAATTCACCTCTGTCTTGTCTATTTCGAAGCTCGATGCTGAAAGTAACGGGAACTATACTTGTAGGGTCTCCAATGATGCTGGTTTCGACGAAAAGTTTAGTATTCTGTTGGTTAAGGGTAAGAAATTCTCTCATTTGATGGGTTTTGACATTTTTTATCGTATAACAACTATTTCTATTTTAGAAATCCTTTGAATAATTAAATATTGTAACTATGCGAAGTTTTGTAATAGTTATTTAGTCCTGTTCATAAATTTCGAACCGATACTGATTAAAAAATAAGATTTTTAGTATAATATGTTACTTATAAATGTATTTGAATAGTTGAAAGAAAATC